TTGTCTAAGGTTAGTTCATAAAAATAAGAAACACAAGTTGGCAAGCCTAAGAGAAGTTGACATACTTTTTGTGTGTATGCTATGTGGGACCCTACTGCGGCATGCCTAAGGTGTGGCTTGAACCAAACACTCATCTAAGTTGGTCAAAGTTGCCTAAACTTAGGTGTGGTAACCTTTGGCAAAGTTAGTCACAAACCAAACAACCCCTTAGTACGCTTGCTGATCTCGAAAGAACAAGATGCGGTCGAAATGCGGCTGCGAGTTAGGCGCATTGTCGGCGCATCCACAAATCCGGGCGGACGCGGCCCCATTGCCATCCCAAGTGGACGAAAAGCGGACGAAACGGACGTCCGTTCTGAGCCATGCGTTAGAGTTGGCCTAAAGCTCCATATAAATGATGGAGCCCCATTGAGCTTGATGTTAAAGGTAATCCGTCATTGTTTTTTTTATGACTATTGTGGTGGTATCAAAGGCAGATGAGGGTGTTGATGTGCGTTCAAGGGATTCTTTGGTCTTAATTATAATTACTTTTTGTCTAGTGTGTTCTTTATGTAAGAGCTAGCGTTCTGCTTTTTTTCAGTTTTGATCCGTCGGTGTGTGCCTGATTTGTACTATAATACTTTTATAAACGAGATAAGTATTATACCAGGAAAAAACGCGCAGGGATGACCGTAATGCAGCGGTCCGCCCCGTGTGGTCCTCGGCTGGGATCCTCCAACCGCACTACGGATCCTGCTTGCACCCGGCCGTCTGCACTCACCCGTCCTGCCATCCGTCCAACCAAAGTCTGTCTGATACGCACGCCTCTTGTGACAAGCCATAAACTACGTCTACGATCCGGCCGATCAGCTAATCAGAGAGGAGTATTTATATTTTATACACGTACGCACTAGTAGTACTACGTACCTCTAAGGCTCTAACTACTCTATGTTGTCAAAGCAAAGATAATTTCTGCGCGGCGTCAGTCAAGCAGGACCGGACCGAGTGGATAGGCATGGACGCGACCGCAAAGCCAAGATAAGCGGGACGGACGGACGGACGGAGAGGCGCGCGCACGTTTCTACTCTACGAGCATGCAAACATGCTGCAGCGACTACTGCTCCTTCTGCTGCTAGCTACTCTACCGCTGCGCTCTAGCACTGCAGGAGCAGCCTTGCCCTTGCGCGCGCGCTCGGGCGTGCAGTGGCCAGGTCATGTGCCGTCCCCCGTGCCCGCTCCTCGCTTGTCGACCTCTCCTCGCCCCTCTGCGCCAGCTAGTGCATGCGACCCGCTGGCTGGTCGACGTAACTGGCTGCACGCACCATGCCCAGGCACTACTGTGTAGTGTGTAGCATGGCCTGCACTCCATCGGAAGCGCTGTGCCGCCGCAGCGCGCGTGCCATGCCCACCTTATGCATATCGCGCCAACTCCCAGGATCGGACGTGTCCGCGGATGCGCGCTCGTCTCCGACTCTCTCCGTACGTCCACCTGATCGGGGGTGCAGACAGTGGCGGAGCTAGATGTAGACTACGCCTGGGGCTGTGCTATATTGAGTGATAAACTTCTATGATTTTCTATGCTTTGCATGAAGAAATTACAAAGGAAGTTGTTTCTAGGCCTGGGGCTATAGCCCTAGCTGTCCTAGGCCTGTCTCCGCCACTGGGTGCAGATGATTAGTCGATTGATTGACACGTGGCATGCACATTGGCACGTTCCAATACCGTTCCCCCCGTCCGGAACCATGCACCTTTGCTCCATCATCGACGGTCGACGGCGAAATCCGGCCGGCGACGGTCGTATATAAGGGCGGCAAGCCCCACGAACCCTGCACGATTCTGGGATCTCAGCAACACGGGGCTGAGCGAAAACAGAGAGCAAGACACGAGATAGACAGGCAGCCTTACTGATAATGACCTTACATTCATGGCATTAATAACCTGTACGTAACGGTAGGCTCTAAAGGCCCCGGATCCCTTCCTTTTAGGTAAGTCCAGCTTTTTGGCAGAAAATTTTCTTCAATTCATCAACGATCAGGCCTGCTCCAAACTGCTCATCACAATAGACGACCTCAACCCAGATCCCGTACCATTTTAAAGTGAGATCGCAGGTGCTGGCCTCTGCTTATTTGGTTCACTGATAGCCTACCTTGTCTGCGTTGGCATAGCCATGGCATCAAGGAAAGAAGACCGACTCTAGCTAGTCTCCATTTTTGCTCAGGGGATCTTCTTTACGAGTACTCTACATTGTTTGGTAAGAAAGCCTTAGTTATGTGCATGCTAAGTTCTGTATCGTCATTGAAGCGAGCTAACGGCGTTCTGCCGTCATCGCTCTTCCTTCACTGATACGGACCAAACATTGTTGTAGTAGACAATCATAAAGTCATCGTGTTAAGTCATTACAGGACCAGCACACCAGAAGAACAACCTTCCCCGATGAAGAGAAGCTGGATCGTCTTCTGTGAGCAGCCACCGCCCACCGCCTCGCCTTTCTTGAGTAGGATATAAACCCTAATTGAGCTAAAAAAAACAACAACAAACGAATCAGATGCCCCTGCATCGGCAAGGGCTGGGATTCACCACGCCTCCATGGACCTAAGGCCATGGGAGATGAGACGGACCGGCGGCGGCACCAACAGGACGCAAGAAGCCCTTTTCGTCTAGGAGTCGCCTTTTCTTGTGATTAACTAAGTAAATTCCAATAACCATATGGTGTATCGCTAAAACTAAAGTATCTCCCAAGTTCTACCAAGAGACTCCATGTTAGCTCAAAATTCTTCACGAACGTGACAAATCTTGGATTGTCATGTGCCTGGTTTAGCGAACCAATTCAACAAAGAAGAAGATGTCGACAGCTTCTATACTGGCCAGCGCAAACGCCAGTCCACCTCCAACACGCAATGATTTGAACGTATCCACGCATGGCCACGGGCATACGGGCTGTCAATTTATTGCACAGTGACTGGAGCACAAGTGCAGAACATGCCGGCGGCAGGAGCGATAAATGGCACTCGAGTAGGAGCGCACGTCGGCGAAAATCGCCACGGAATTCCCGGTGGAAAAGGCTGGGTACCGTACACTCACATCGTCGGCACATTGCGCCCGAAAATGATACACTTACGGACGTTTATTACGGAGAGAATTCTACAGGCGTACGTGTTCTTTCCTAATTCACCATTCCCCCCTGAATTTGTGGTGTGGGGCCCTCCTTCCCCCAACTAATTGATAGCAGCGCAGTCCGTGAGCCTCAGTCCGTAGTCTAACCCGGCCATGGAGTTAAAAACTTGTCGCGTCGTCGCCTGTGAGAAACATGTTGGATCGGAGCAACCGTCGGAACATTTTACATTCTTGATTGATTGAAAGTTACCAGCGTTGCAGCAACATTGAGCACATGCGGTGACGATCGATGTGTCGCCCGTCTCTTTTTCGCCCTGGAAAGCAAAGCTTGCGGTAGCTGGCTGGCGTGCGTGAAATCGATTTACCGTGGACCCGGCAATTACCTTCCTTCCGTGCGGAAACCGAGCGATTGGGCCCACATGTAAGCCTGCTTTCGCAAAGCTCACTGCTGCTCCTACAGGCATGGTGGTCATGCTCGTGCCTGATGTCATGAGACATGAGAGCCGTTTGCGTCCACAGCGTTGGGCAGATACGCACGCGTATACGGCGGCTTTCGAAAAACAGATACGCGTATACGCAGTGTCACGAGTAGCACTATGCACTCTTCGTACAGTAGGAGGAGTAATAGTACGTACTGACGCATGGACGTCTACAGCGCCATGCACGCTGCATGCACGAGGCGGGAGAGCCAGGAGGGACAGCGGCCCTGTGGCCACGTGGAGCCCATCTAGCGGAGGGTCTGCCCGTAAAGGTAAAGTACGGCAGCTGCTGCCAGTCTCCATCCCGGCACGTGGCATTTGCCCGTTTCTCCGTTGACCATCCCTGGCTTATTTTCTTTCTTTCTTTTTATCGTACTCATACGTATCTACAGAGCCCAGTACCCTGGCGTACTGCTAGGGTTGGGTTTTCTACTGGTACACGGAGAAGAATCTCAACCTCAGATGTTTCCAGAACAAAATCCGACGTTCATGAAGACTTTTCAAAAGAGAAACGGGCAGAAAAGAGAAGATCAGTAATGAGCACATGATTTTGGTCTTATTTTGCAGCACCGAAACATTGTAGTTTACCACTACTCCACATCCCAATATATTCATCCACCAGCCTAGCATCTTTTTCTTTTACGGGAAAATACCAGCCTAGCATCTGCTGCTACCACTACTACGACTGCCGCAAAAATCACTCCAGGGAACAAAAGAAAAGCCAAGGGAAACAAAAAAAAAACAATTAGTAAATGACAGCTACCACCAGCGGTTCTCTCGAATCTGCATCGCTGCCTACTACTTCGCCTCGAGTCGAGAAGATTAAAATGGAAAATAAATCGGAAAAGGTAAAAATGAACAACAGGGCAAGAGTAAATTCCCGGCTCTTCCAGCTGTCGCGCCCCATGGGGTCCTGCCGCACCGCACGCCGCTTACCCCCACTGGGACTGGGAAGGTGGGCCCATGCATCGCTTCTTGGCATCGGCGACGTTGGCTGCCGATCCGACGGTCCGGTCGCTCTCCGAGCTGGCGCTGCGGTAGTGGCCGTGCCCGAGGACCGTCACCGGCGTCTCGGCGCTCGCCGCCGGTCCGACGCCGACGCCGACCACACCGCAGACCGCCGCCATCACCTCGCCGCACTCCCGTAGCTTCTCCTGGACAGAGGGTTGATCATTGTGAGAGGAGCGCACGAAATTATCAACTCCGACGAGAAAACAAGAAAGCTTATCAGCAGTGCGGGTCAATCGCTGCGCTCGGGCGCGTTTCACGAGGAAAATAACTACGAAAAGGCGAACAGTTGGGGTGGCCAAGGTCTCCTCTCCCAAAGGATCTGGAGTGTGTTTGGCGTGGCGTGACATGACAGGTGGTGGTTACTTGGGAGAATTAAGGGGGGGTTTAGTGGGCAGTGGAGAACAAAAATGTGCGGTTTTATAATATCATGCTCACGCTATTTACAAAGGGGCAAGCGGCCACGGCGGCTTGGAAGGCGGGGAGGTGGGCGACGGCGATCTCTCCGGCGGCGGCCAGCAGCGCCGACGCGGCCACCACGGACGGCGAGAACTCCGCCATCTTCACCTCTGCAGGACGGGAAGAGATCAGCGGTTGAGCGGGCGATGAATCTGAGGGCAAAGCGTTCGGGTTTGCTTGGCATTGGCATGCCGGAGGAGCGCGCGCACGTACCGGGCTGGGCACGGAGGAGGAGGTCGACGGCGCGCTCCTTGACGGCGTCCAGCAGGGCCGGGTGCCGCGGCGGAGGGAAGCACGCCGAGAGGAAGAAGCCGAGGAAGGCGAGCGGCGTCACGGAGCGCGCGCGCCACTCCAGCGCGCCCAGCACCACCCGCTCCATGCGCCGGATGGTCACCGCGTCGAACATGAACTCCTCCTCCCTCTGCAAGCCACGTACGCACGCCAACACACGCTTGATTGACAACTAATCCCCATATGAACTCGCGACAGAGCAACCCAAAAGGAAAAGGGCAATAATCAGCGTACTTGGATGTAGTCCATGGAGATTGCGTCGACGCGCTGCATCTTGGCGGCGATGGAGAGGCAGCTGATGGCGAGCAGCCGCGGCGCCCATGGCTTGCGCTCGAACTGCGGGGCAGAACCACGGGCTGTCAGATCAGACCGAAATATTGTAGATTCTTGAAAGAAAGACACCATCTTTCGCCTTCTTACCGGCAATTGGCCCTTGGAGAGGAAGCGATCCACGTAGTTCAGCGCGAGGTAGGCCACCCGCGGGTGCACGGCGAGCTCCCCGTCGTACCGCACCTGGGCCAACCGAGGCTGATCGGATCAGAAAGGGAAGGGGACGAACCGCTCGCGAGAAAGAACCCCATGAAGGAAGACCCGTACCTTGGAGATGAATCGGGCGGCGTCGCGGCGGACGGCGGAGGCGGCGGCGGACACGGAGGGCGCGTGGTGGGCCTCGGCGTCGAGGAGGCTGGCGATCGGCTCGTCGGCGGGGCTCGTGAAGGGGTTCTCCAAGTCGAACTCGTACTCGTAGCCGTAGACGTACTCGTCCTCCCCCGGCATGTCCATGGCTTCCGTACGAGGAAGGGGCAAGAACACGCCAAGAAGCGCAGGCTGTGGCTTTATGGGGGAGAGGAAGCCACCATTGCTGCCTGCTACGCAGTGTGCTAGTACTAGCTGTGTCTGGTTGGGAAGATGGCCTTTAATAAGGGAACCGTCGGGGTCCGGGGACAATGGCACAAAAGGTGTGGATTTGGGGTTCTTTTTGTAAAGATCGTGGAGACGGCGAGGCCCGAGACAGGAGGAGGGGGAGGGCATGGAGGAAAGAGAGGACGAGGAAGAAAGTTTCTGGTGGCGACCCACCTGTCATGGATGCCAAATGATCGCTGCGCTTGTGCGTGACCCTGTGAGACCAGACGATTTACTCCGCGGCGGCCCCATGCGTTTTGTCTTTTGACAGCTCTCATCCATGTGAAGAAACGTGGTATGGTGATTTTTGCTAAAAATGTCGACGCCGTTGTACAACACTAATCACAACATTTTTG